TTCCCCTGTCTGTGGTCTCTTGAGCTCTCTCTCACCCACATTCAGCAGAAAAGTAGGAAAATGGGCAGATGATCTTGTCTACTAGTCCAGAGAGCATCCTGAACACAGAACCGTGGGCGTGCCTTCATCTTTCCCTCCCCTTTATGGGAAAGTGGTCCAGAACCAAGTCCATTGACTTCTAGATTTTCATAGTAAAGTTGACCTTCACCACCACAGAGAGGAGAGGAAGAGTCCTACTGGCTGTTTTTACTAAGGCTGGCTGAAACTATCTTCTTCTTGTGCAATCAGACCAGCTGTGGTAGTGATTTCTGTCTGATGTAAAAGGTAGGAAATGCAATAGGGAGAGTTACCATATCTAAACTCTCATGTGAAGAGGCTCAATAGGTAATATTGTTCATTTTTTCTTTCAAGACAAGCTCAAGGAACATTTAAAGAGATTGAAAAGTAGCAGGGACTTCTACATTAAGAACAAAGTCAGAAATTGCTGGAGTTTTAAAGAGTTATCTGGGAAAGTAGGCACAACACTGTTTCTGATGTCTCTCCCTCTGTAGGTTCTTTCAATTATTTTTGAGAGCAAGGTGCTAGAAGTAAGGGCACCTCTATTTTGACTCAGTGTGTCAGCTCATATGTTCACATCTGGACCTACCTACTTCAGATTTTTCACCTAAGCATCTACCTGGATGATTCTGGTTTTACAGACAACACTCTTCACATTTGAATTTCTGCTTTCTGCTTTTGCAGGGACAACACCTTAATTTATAGCCAGCTCTCCAGTCTACCAAGTTAACAAAATGAATGGCTTTGACTCACAACACATGCTTTGGAATTCTTTGCTGAGGACATTACAATGTGAGCTTCCTGTGTAGACCAAATTTTATTTGAATATGACAGTAGTAAATCAAACATCAACTGTACTCCACGGAAATGAGAAATCAAAGGAAATCAAAGGGAAAACTCAGATAAGGGAAATCAAATAATACCAAGACACAGCAGCTTCTAATTGTTTGTTATAATTATGTCATATAGAGTATTCATAAAATTATGAAACAGCTCTTTGTCTGACTGACTAAGAGCTTAGAAGTTATATTCATTTTAATATGGACTTTGTTTCCTATTATCAATGTAGCAAAGTTTGAGAAAAAAAAATAAATATCAAACAGTGGCCTTATGACTACAGAGCTAGTGCTAGTTTGCTCACACAGTATTAAAAATAACTCTTAAAAGGAAGTATTTTCTTGAACAGAAGAATCATGCTTGATTTCTTTTCTTAAGAAAAGCCTGATTTATTCCATTTATTCATGAAAGAGCAAGGGAGGGGTAAAAGGACTCTATTTAGACATCATTTTTCCAGCGTGTGGCCATACATCTCTCTCTGTAGTACAAAGGTGTCACAATAGACATGAATAAAACTTGCTTTTCATCTCACAGAGTTATATTTCCTAGAGACAAGAGATATTAAACTCAAAAAAAAATTAAAAAAAAAAGGAAAAATGTATTTCATCTAGTAGTATAAATTATGCAATAGTGGCCTGTCAAGAAATATATTTCTTGCTTGCAGAATATAAACTTAGATGCATGTGTACTACAGCATGGACATCTTTGGTGCTGTTTTGCAGATACAGTCACTGATAACTAGAACAGAAAAAAATGCACTGAGAAAATAGATACTAAATTTTAGACAAAACAATCCTTCTGGAAAGCAAGACTGTTTAAAGAACAATCATCAACAAAATGCAGATTGCCTTTAGTCCCTAGAGGACTTGAATCTCACAACATTCCTTTGGAATAGCCCTTAATATTTACACAGCCACACAAAACTCCCACTCACCCGTTTTTTGGCTGAGCTGATAGAGGAAACATTTGCGTAAATCTGCGTTGTCCCTGAAGGTCAGTTGCAAAAGTGACCCTGATTTTTTCAACTTCTGCATGAGCCACAGACCTGGAATGAAAATTGGTGTATACTTTCATCCTGTTTGCTAATTATCAGACAAGAGGATTAAAGAAGTGCCTATAGTAAGGGTAGCACTGTAACTCACTGTAGGTTTTGCTTCCCCTTGTATTGCTAATCAGAGAGAAAAATCTAAGGGTCTCACTGGACAGGGGTAATGGTTTTAAACTAAAAGCAGGTAGATTTAAACTAGATATAAGGAGGACGTTTTTTATGATGAGGGTAATGAAACACTGGAACAGGTTGCTTGAAGAGGTGGTAGATTTCCCACTCCTGGAAACTTTACATGTCAGGATGGATGGTGCTCTGAGCAACCTGATCTAGTTGAAAATGTTCCTGCTCATTGCAGGGGAGTTTGGACTAGACGACCTTTAAATGTCCCTTCCAATCCAAACAATTCTATGATTCTGTGGCTGTCCATGTCATGGTAGCATGAACAGGAAGGTTGAACTGTGAGGACATTCAAGTCCCAGGGTACTTCTTCAGCCTTGGAGATACCTTTCTTTATTGGCAGTATACAGAGAAGCAGACAAATACAGTGGAAGCAAGGTCATCTCTAACTGCTGCACATTCCTGGGCTTTCCAAGGAGCACTGTGCTGGACCTTGTAGCAGATACTAAAAATTCCTCTCATTGCAGTTTTTTTCTGTCTGAGTTTGAATTCTTCAGCAAACACTTTCCACAACTTTAATGTAAAAGTCATGTTGTTATGACTTATTGCTGCCTCCATGTGCTGCTCTCTCATGCACTCTGCCACAGACTGCAGCCAGTCATAGCCTTCCTATCAACTCTTACCTGTACTAACCAAAGTACTGTTGTTGTAAAGGGTTCCCAGGTGAGGCCCAGAGAGGGAGAGGAAGGTGTGTAACTTGTTGAGGTAATAGCGAAACCTGGGGCGAGTCAGTACAGAACGAATGATGACGTTACCAAGGGAATGTCCAATAAAACTGTTGGGAAAGAATTAATTATGTCAACAACAACAAAAAAATCTGTACTTTATTTAAACTAAACATGAATGGGACATCTTGCTTTTGGGAGGACTCTTATCAGTGCTTCCAGTAACATCCTTCAGTTACCATTTCACTTTCTTTTTAGCCTAGTAGATACACTTCCATCTGTGCCAACATAAAAATTCACCTCACTGATTCAATGGCTTTTGACACAGGGCACTTTTTGAACAGTTCATTTCACTGTATGTTGCTCAAGTAACTCCAACAATCACAGACTATTAACTAGCAGAACTCTTACCTTATTCGGGATATGGAGAGGTTGTACAACTGGATATGCTGAATAATTTCATCTAATAATCGGTCAGTCATGGTATCAAAATCAGCAAAAGTGTCAGTCTGGTGAAAAATGGAATGAGGTGGTGAATTAAAATACACTGTACTTATTGCACACTGATGTTATTTTCAAAGTAAAATGCAAGCAGAAAAGTAATATCCAGTCCCAAATTTCTGTATACATGTTCAGGGAGGGGGGGGATTTTTCTCATTGGACTCTAGTGTATCCTTTTTTTTATTGTACCTTGGACTCTATTGTATCTTTTAGATTCGAGAACACAACCTGAGAATTCAGATTAGGAGCAGAGTAGTCCTGTCACTCACAAGGCATGGAAATAGGGCCCTCTAGAACACAATTCATATTTTAAGAAGGTTGAATTACCTCCTGTGGTTGCTCCTCTTTCTCTACCAACTGTGCCTCTAACATTGACATGTGTCATGATAAGCTAAACCCGGACCTACAATTTATTAATAGCAAGGTTAATAATATTAAGCTGAGTGATTCCAGAGTCATGAGTATGATCTTAAAGCAGCCTGACTTGACACTGGTGAGAACTGGAAAATACTCAGTGGCTCTAGATAGCATACTCTGCACAAGGGAGAAAAGCTTTGGCATTTAGGATTTAACAGATTGCTACAATAAGATAGTTCACAGCACTAAACACTGGCACACAGGTTATGCTGATGCTGAGGATGTAATCACAAAATTATCTGGCCACCTTAATGAAATTCTGTGTGTTTGTTACTCAACAGTTATCAGCAAGAGAATGAGTTAGAAAGAGAGACAAACAATGTGTACTGCCAGTTGTGATACAATAAACCAAACAATATATTGCCCAGCCTATACGATTGCAGGCAGATCCTATTCAGAACTGTGTCATTTGGCAATCTAACAGGACTCTAAATCAAATTCGTAACTAATGAGATGCCACAAAAACAATCATCAAATGTTGGAACAGCTATTCAGAGCAAATATATCAGTAATTAATGCTTTTGTGACACAACTCATCTTGCTAATTGCAGCTCTTGCAAAGGAAAACATGAGCATATTCGCTTTGGAATACAGCCTCAAAATAAATGTTCTCCTAAACTACAAACAGTCCACTAACCTTCTGCCTGTTTGTTTTGTCTGCATTAAGAATTAATGATTTGCTCCTGGGCTCATTATCCCAAATCTTTCAGGTTGGTTACAAGTAGAAGAATACCAGCCTGAACATTAATCATAAACAAAACACATGAAGTGCCATATTTCACCTCATTATATCTCTATTCTTTACTATCATCTCAGCCTGATCAAGCTTGTCAAATCTATCACAAAAGAATGTCTGAAAAAATTGATTTGCATTTTCCTCTATAAGGCAAACTTCAGCTAAATGACTGATTTCTTGGGTCATTTTTAGTGTGGTTCTCAGAGCAGGAAAAAAAAAAAATAGGTGACAGGATGCCTTACAACATCCAAATAGTCATCAAACCACACGTGTTGTATTTCCAGTGCTCTTGGACCTTCCTCACCTTCCCAGATTATAAGAGCACTAAAAGTTCCTATTACAGGCTCTGGATAACATTAAATAGAGATGTTATAAGATGTTTTATTCTCTGAAAACATAAGAAAAGGCTTTGATGCAAGTCTGACGTGGTCTCATTAGTTTCATCTTGCTTACATCCACTGTGCAGGTCTGCTGCTGACTGATGTGCACTGGAAGGTGGCAGTTTCACAGACTAACACCAACTGGCCACTTCAAACTAGAAAAGCTGTTGAACAAAGTGGGCTGTAAAGCTTTGACTCAAGTTTCTCTGCTGCTCGTAAATCAGAATTATGTTTCTGACTGCTCACTGGAAATCCTTTTCTTGTGCATAAAGTTAGTCCTCTGCGTGATAAATATGGGTTCATTGCAGAGCAAAGCACAGAATTCATTTCTGTGTCACTGCCTAGTCTAGCAATGTCTTTTGCTGGAAGATATTTATCATTCAAGTGAATAAATCTTGCAAACATTGCAACAGAAGAAACAATGGCAGATGCAGCAAAGGAAGCTGAAAACAACTGCTCAGTGTTCCACACCTTCCAAAAAATTTGACATCACCAAACTTGCTGCTTGCTGTTGGTGTTGTTTTCCCTGGCATCCAACAGGCAGAGGCACCATGCTGCTAAGTTTGCAAACTGAGAGGATAAATCAATGTTATTCTTCTAAGGTCTAGTCATGTAAGTGCTGATGTCATTGTCTTTGACTTTAATGTGAAGAATATTTTCTACTGGGTTTGAACATCCTACCAAAGGAGACAGGAAGAGGACCAGGCCTCTGGACTCAAAACTACATATAATTTCCTTAATTCACCAGTGCCTTTGTTTCATTCAGCTGGTGAAAAGACATTGCTAAAGACCCTGTTTCAGCAATGTCAACAGCTTATAGTAGATCTAGAGGAAGACAGAAATCAGCTCTATACTACCTGATTTCTTTCAGACATTAGGAAGTCCAGTTTTCCACCTGGAAGACCCAGTTCTATAAAAGTCTTTACCAGCCGCAGATCTGCACTGTTACCTGGAAATAAATGTTATTTATGAGATTTAATTCAACAGAAGAATAATTAATACACAGACAATTTAATACATTCATCTTCCTATAATCCCTGACGCTAGAGAGCTCTTGCTAAGTGCTGCTAAGAGCTTGCCACGGCATAGGATCATGCCATAAAACAGTGGGAGAGCAACAATAACCACAGCCTGAGGAGCTGGGGCTGGACCTCACCTCCTGCTGCTGAGGACTGCATCAGTGGTGGGGAAGAAAGGGCAAAGATCAGGCTGAGAATAACTTTGTCCCTTATTTGGTGAACAGCAGACCTAAGACAAAAAGCTGAGGCCCATCCTTCCACCTTCACATCTGGAGGAGCTCCTGGGCAGCCCTGCCAGGGCCCTCTGCCTGTGTGCTGGAATATAGGGCTGTACTTGCAGAGGTATAGCCTCCTGCCTCTGTGTATTCACAGCTAGAGACAGTGTGGAAATACTGCCAAGCTCCTAATATTTTGGGAGATGCACTGTTCTGTTCTAGGAAATCCCAAAGTCTTCTAAAATGTTTTGTTGGAAAAATAGGTACCTCCACCTCATGAGAAGGACATTGCTGCTGCTGAGATACTGAGTGGCAAAGAGTCATTGCTCAAGCCAGCAAGTGTTTGTTTTCCACCTTTCTGAGAATGCCTGAGATTTCAGTCTACACCCCTCCTTCTCTGTAGTTTCAAGGTTATCATCTATGCCTTTTCTATTGATATCAATAATTTATCCAGAGAATTTTCAAGTTTAGCATATCTATTTTCTGCTTAGAAAGCATATATGTAAAGAATCCCAAGCCATGCTTCCTCTGCAGTGAATAATGCTTTTTTATTCTCTCACTTTCTAAAGCCAACCACTCTCCACCCTGTAGCAGTGCTGGAGGAGGTTAAATAGCGTTTTCATCCTGGTGGCATACTACAAAGGAACTGATCATTTGTGAGAAGACAAGAGTTACAGGAATGCATTCCTCCTGCACACAGAAGGGCTGGTGTACTTTAGTGAGGAGTTCTGTTTAAACAACAACAAAAAAAATTGTAGCACCCATTTCTTCAAGCAAATATTTAATATTCTCCTAGACCCTTTACTACAGTGGACTGAATAACAAAAACAAAAATAAAGGACTAATCGCTTAGCTAAGTTAAAGCCATTCCTTAGAGCCTCCATTCTTCCATACTTGCTGGACATGTGCCCTTTTTTCTGTCTACACCAAAATGACTTGTAAACAGCAATTCCTCCTGGCCTTACCATCCAATCCATGGACACAGACAACCAGGTGAATTCCATCTTCCAAATTTTCCTCCTCTTCCTCTGGTGGAAAATATGGGATATCAGAAGCTAGTACAGATAAGTCACTGTACAGAAATCCTTCAATCTTCATTTCTTTTTTAAATTTTTCTTTGGCCTGATAAAAACTGGAGAATACATTAATTAATCACAATAGGACCGGGTGTTCAACAACAAACCTTCAAACTAGAAATTGGGAGGCTGCTGTTTGCAAGAGGTATATTTCCAACTTTCAAGCAGACACCAAGGTATTATTCCTTATCTGTTCTGGTTGAGAGAAATCAGGATGCAGGGAAAAAAAAAAATCTGATTCTGAGTGATCTGGCTACAGGGAATAGCTAAAGCCCATTAGCACCTCACACCTGCCAGAGGAATGATTTACTAAAAAATAATTTTCAGGTGTCCCATAACTATGAGTCTAAGTTAAAATGCAAGATTGCTAATTCTGTAATGATGTCATCAGTTTAATAGATACTGGAATGCAAAAGGTATAATTTTGCTGGCATTGGATGCATTCATAGGCAGATAGAAGTTGTTCTCCTCATTCCTCAGACTGCTGAAAGAATTAAGATAGCCCCTTTCCTACTCAAGGTCTAAACTTTGACACATGAGTTCACCCTGAAGCTTTCTGCTGGCTGATGATACCAAACTCTTCGCTGGCTTTTTGACTTCAAAAAAACTTATTCAAATATTTTAGGAATTAATCACAATATAAGTGTAGAGATAGGTAAAAAGCTGGAGGGGACCAGGTTAGGAGACAGAAACATTTAAAGCTTGGGGGTAGTTTAAGTCTACTTGATGTAATGATGAGCATCACACTAGCCCAAATGACTTTAAAGGAGCACAAGAATGAAAAAATCTAACATTCAGGCCATGGATCTGGAGGCTCTGGATCCATGAATACATGTTCAAATGTTTTCTTTCACAAAGAAATTTTACACTTAGATTAAGCAGGATTTACAACAGGGACTATAAAATGAATCTCGAGATGTTTTCAAAAGAATAAAATTAAATCCCTGGATTACAAACAAATACACATGCAGAGAGTCAGTATTTTGGGCAGCTGAATAGGTTGAAGAAATGCCCATGCTACTGTTTTCCCTCAGCACATCAGAGGCACCATAATACAACAGAAGTATATATGTACTAGTGTTTCAGGGTCACTGTGACATCAAGGACACAACATGGCACTTTTGCCATGCTCAGTGAAGCAAGGAAAAAAAATCATGCCTCTTCTCCAGCTACCCAGGATGCCAATTCTCCCACATTTTCAGCTTAAGAAGATGAATTGGCTTCCAGTCAATCTCTGCTCCTGTTTCATAGTTTAGCTAATGAGTTCAAGTACTCAAGTAGAAGAAAAGAACAAAGTGTGGGACTTCCATTGTGAACTGGCTATCTGCAGCAGTCAAAACTGAGTAGTATTGACTTAATGAAGGAGAGACAGATCTTAAAGGTTATTTGGATATTTAAATTCCACTGGTTTTCATGAGGATTAAGGACCTGATGTCTTTGACAGTCTCAGTCTCTCTGGGTTTTCATCTTTCCTGTTTATTTGGATTATTCTACATAAATATTTTGTCTCTCTGGATTATTTATACTGTACTTCTTCAGGCAGCAACTGTTTCTGAATGCAAACTTACAGTACTGCATGTTGTATTGGGGCTATGAACTTAGTCGCAAACTTACAGTACTGCATGTTGTATTAGGGCTGTGAACTTAGGGTGTCTCAGCATTACAATAACATTAATGAAGAAAGTAATTACACATTCTTACTTCAGCATCCTCTCATTGGTCTCTTCATCCATCTCATTTGAAGCAGAAGGGACAACTCCGAAGGAGCCCAGGGGCTGGCGTGTGATGGGGAAGGCAGCCTGCTTTGCAGAGAAGCCCATCATAGCAGGGGTCTCTTTGAGCACAGAGGAAAAGGGAAGACATGTGGCTGTGCAAGAGACGGAGAGGTTCACCACATCCACAGCCTTTCTGCTCTCCAGGGCCACTCCCTCCGGCGTCGCCAGATTGAACCCAGCGCCGTTAGCGACAAGTTCCTGCTCTTGGCTGCTGGGTTCCTGAGGATATCCAGCCTGGGAGGATCCTGCAGCAGGGTCTGCTGAGGCAGGCGTGTCGTTCAGCTCAATTTCTTGTAAGCCCTGCATTTCTGCATCCACTGCTGGGCTCTCAGCAGCAAGAGAGCTACCACACTCCCCTTCCATCGCGCCAAATTTCGTTGAGGTCTCTGAAGCAGCTGGAGCAGGATAGCAAAAATCTGGTGCCAGCTTTATGCTTTGTGGGAAACTTTCCTCTCCTGAAATTCTGCCATTGGAGTAAAAGCCTTGTTGTATTTTTAAACTGTCTGTCTTAAGTTTATCCTTTGGATCCTCAGTGCATGTATCCAACTTATTTATATTTTTGTCCAAGTAATGACAAGCCCTTGGTGTTTTTAAGCTGCACTCACCATCACTCTCTAGTGACTGGCACCCAGAAACAATATCTTGGAGCTGTTTTGGACAAACGGGTGGTGTTGCATTTTCCAAACTATAGTAAGTCTCTGGAAAACCTTCCTTCTCCTCCTCCCCTTGTAACTCAGTGTTACTGCTACTGTGTTTGACGGAGACTTTGGGATGTCCCCTTGATTCTAGCTGCCCACTTTCAGTGGTGATTTGACACTCGGAAAAGTCCAAGATTAATTTTCCATCCTCACCTTCTTTTTCCATGGAACTTTCGACATTGTCTCCTGGATCTGCCAAGGCTACTTCCAGGTGTTTGGATATATCTACCTCCTCTGCAGGCTCTTCTGGGCTACTGATCTGAGGAGCCGAGACAGATTTTGTCAGCTTGGTAAGCTCCACTTCCCTCTCCTCTTCCTCAAAGGGCAAAGAGCTGATGGATGTGAGCGACGCCTGGATGCCACTGGGCAAGCTGGTGTTGCTCTCTGTGTGGCCCCCCTCCAGGGAATTCCTGTGGATGGCGTGTCTCCGGACCAAGTGGTGCAGGACCTCTCGGTCGCTGGGCAGCTCCAGCGCCCGGCTGCGAGCGTCGGACCACGCCACCGAGCTGGGCTCGCTTTCGATGCCCGAGTCAGATATTATAGAGGAGGATCTTTTGATCACCCCTGACGTCAGGGTAAACTCTTCACACTCCTCACCTCGTTGCTCCTTTGTGAACAACTTCACTTCAAGATTATGTGGGGGCAAAGTTTTCAAAACAGGGAGCAGAGCCTTGGTGTCTAGATCGCCTGTCTTCTCAAGACTGGTTTCATTCAGTGCAAGCTCAGATGAACTGGAAGCATTCTCAGGATGATTAGATTTATCTGTTTTATGAATTTCAGTCCTGTCTTCCAAGTCATCAGTTCCACATGCTCCACACTCATACTGAGCACGGACGGTTAGCACAGGCTCACTGCTGTGGGAATCCTTATTGCTAGGTTTCATAACTCCATAGGTAACATCTGCCACAAGTCTATTGTCTTTTACTAAAACTCCCTCAGGTGTTTTAAAGTCTTCTGATGTGCATGCTGTATTGCCTGGCTCTGAGTCAGAAGTATTTTCCTCACCTGAAACAAAAATATTTTCAGGTTTCCTTTGGCCTTCTTTGTTCACTGTACATACCTGAGATGTGAAGTGCTGGTTTAAACCCTTAGCTGCATAAGCAGCACCTTCAATACCACTGTATATGCAGGAGGGATTCCCATTTGTCCTGTCTGTGTGTATTAGTGAAGTACCTTTCCCAAAGTCTCCTTTCATTATTGCAGTGGCATCATTTGATGCAAAATCTTTGCTATCAACTATCACATCCATCTGAGTATTGGCAGGAACCTCAAAATCTGTGAATACCTCCAAATTCTGATCTGAAAGAAAGAAAGAAAAAAAAAGAAGTAGTATCTGCAAGAACACAACAAATTACCCTCAGGTGATGTGGGGCTTTAAAAAGTGATTGTAAGGCCCCAAAAAATTCTGCATATTATATAAATCATACTTATATTAGAGGCATATCACAAATGCAAGCACCAGAGTAAATTTAACTAGATTTATACTCACTAAACAGTTCTAGCTAGGCCAAAGAAGACAATATCAATAAAATACACTTTTCTTACTATAACTGTACCTAAACTACTAGTTTTTTCAGCATAGGTAAGCAAAACAAAGCTAACACTTCTCTGTATTCCTCACATCATCCAACACCGTTCATAGTACAGCTCTTGCTTGTGAGTCAGTTTAATATCCAGTTTAATACTTTAAATACCTGTAATGAGCATAGTCAAAACAGGCAGATGGATAACTCTGGAAGAGTAGAAATTTTGGATCACAGGCCATATTTATTAGACTATGATCAGCTTTAATATTAATTCATATTGCTTCCTTGCTAATCTTAATAGTTGAGTAAAAAGAAAAGAGAACCAAGGGCTATGAGATTTTTACTACGAATCTGCAGAAATAAAAATTCCTTAATTAGAAATTGGATTAGGGTACTCAAGGGGAAATTATTTTTTTTTGGAAAGCAAAGTTGCCTTTCAGGGACAGTGTTGGGCTTTGTGCTGGAACTGTTCTTGCTGTTGAGTTCTCTTACCACTAGATGTCACACCGGGGATGAAATTCACAGTGCTATTTTCCCTCGAAGCTGCACCTTGTGGTGTTCCACTCACCTTTGCAAGGCGTATCCGTGTACCTATCTTCAAAGATAACTGGGAGCGTGTTCCAGTCCCCATCTATGTCGAGGCATTCTGCTGGGAGCGGGGGCATGCTGGTGAAGTACTCCGAACTACGAATTTCTGTAGAAATCTGGCCCTGACTTTGGATCCTGGTGGCAAAGTACAAAAGAAATGGAGGATTGGAGTAGTTATCATGGTGTTTCTGCATCAGTCGTGCAAGCTCAGTAGCAAAGCTGGGTGTGTAAGAAGTGGACAGAGGCAATGTGCTCACAAGACCAGGAGGCAGTACTGCAAGGTGGAGGGTTACCCAGCACCCCTAGGAGGCTTCCTGTGAGTTGATTTCTATCTCTCAGAGATATCTACAGCCTGGAAGGATGCATGGCAGGCCCTCTCTCTCACTTTTACCATTCCTCAGAGTGCTGTGATATCTCACATTACATATGCATCTGGGAGAGCTAAGGCAAACGTGGGGGTTGACCTGGGCTGGATGCCAGGACCCCACCAGAGATGCTCCATCACTCCCCTTCCTCAGCTGGATAGAGAAGAGAAAAATACAACAAAAGGCTCATGGGTCAAGATCAGGACAGGCTGAGATCACCCAATTACTGTCACAGGCAAACCAGACTCGACTTGGGGAAGAAAAAAAGATCACTACCAATAAAATTAGAAAAGGAAAATGAGAAATAAAATCAAATCTTAAAACACCTTTCCTCCAACCCCTCTTTTCATCCCAGGTTCAGCTTTACTCCTGATACTCAGTGGCACGGGGGGATGGGGAATGGGAGTTGCAGTCAGTTCCTCACACGTTGTCTCTGCTGCTCCTTCCTTCTCGGGGGAAGGAATCCACAGACTCCTCCTCTGCTCCAGGGTGGAGACCCTCCCATGGGAGACAGGCCTCCACAAACTTCTCCAACATGAGTTCTTCCAATGGGCTACAAATCTTCATGAACTGCTCCAGGATGGGTCCCTTCCATGGGGTTTAGTGCTTCAGGAACAGACTGATGCAGCATTGGTCCCACACAGGTTCACAAGTCCTGCCAGCAAATCTGCCCCAGTGTTGGCTCCTCTTTCTCCACAGATCCGTAGGTCCTGCCAGGGGTCCACTCAAGCATGGGCTTCCCACGTGGTCACAGCGTCCTTTGGGCACATCCACCTGCTCCAGTGTGGGGTCCTCCACAGGCTGCAGGTGGAGATCTGCTCCACCATTAACCTCTATGAACTTCAGGAGGAGAGCCTGCCTCACCATGGTCTTCACCACGGGCTGCAGGGGAATCTCTGCTCCAGTGCCTGGAGCATCTCCTCCCCCCCACTTCACTGACCTTGGTGCCCGCAGTTGTTTCTCTCAGATATTCTCACTCCTCTCTCCAGCTGCATTTGTGCAGGTTTTCTCTCTCTCCCTCTTCTCAAATACGTTCTCACAGAGGTGCTACCACTGTCACTGATGGGCTCAGCTTTGGCCAGCACTGGGTCCATCTTGGAGCCTTTCTGGCATTGCCTCTATCAGACGTAGGGGAAGATTCTGGCATCTTCTCACAGAAGCCACATCTACAGCCCCCCTACTACTAAAACCTTGCCAAGCAAACTCAATACCACCATTGACAGATACAGAATAAACGTCTGTTTCCACCACATGGGTTGTGTAAAATGCTGCCTAGGCTTTCATGAGCGAATGTGACACTAAACTGGCCAATGATTGTGGGTCCATGTATGATAAACACAATAATTTTGTTCTGACAAGCTTTCCTATGTAAGAATCTTCCCCAAAAAAATGGGGAAAATAAAAAAAATACTTTAGTTATGTTGACTCTTTGATGAATTAGTGTGTTTATTCTAAAGGAACAAGCTTTTCATAGATGGCCAGCTGAAAGCAATTCTGCACAGATCCCATTGGACAAGACAAAGGCAATATTTCAGATCATCACTGGCAAGAGGCAGGCAATCATCATGTGGCAGCTAATTGGAAAAAAAAACACTTTATACATTATAAAGCAAAACACAAACAGCAGGTTTGTGATTCATGCCAGCATGGAAGATTCCTGTGTCCAGACACAAATAACTTCTTCAGAGTATCAGCTTCAACTTCAGAATATAATTGTTGCTGTCTATCATTTGCTCTTACCTGTAGGCCAGTTATTTTTTCCTCAAAGATAAACAAGTTATTGGTTGGTAAAACATGACTCAGAAAGGAGCCACAAACAGCTAACTGCTCATTTTGGCCTGCAGCAATATCTGAGTGTTTGGAGTTAACTCTTAGCACCACAATAAAGTTCTCCCTGACGTATAAAGTAAGAGCATGAGCATCTTACTGAAAGGCACATGAAAAAAATAATAAGCTAAACTTGCTTCAAAATTAATCTGTCATAAAAGATGAATCATTGTTATTCAAAAGTATGAGAAAAAAGAAATACTTTGTCTGTAAAATATTGGGAGAATATGGCACCTGCTAGAGGTTCCCACCCGGTGTGATACCCAGCCTACTGAAAATGGTGTGTCTTCTTCTGCTAAAGGAGTAAAACCTTCTTGTCTGGTGAGAAGGAAGGAAGGACCAGGGGAAAAAACTGTCTGAGTTGGTTGTACAGCACCTGGCACACTGAGAGCTGAGCTCTCGTGGAGACTCTGTGAACTTAATACTCCCTACTGCCACCCTTCACAGTAATACTCTGAAAGCCAAGACTCTCTTTTTCCAACTACATCATCTATCAAAATCAAAAAGGAAACACAATTCCACCATGAGGCCTGTATAGGTTGAATTTACGACATGGACCAACTTTTAAAGTTTGTAAATTATTCTACTGGGTTTTTTTTAATCAGTCTCCTTGATAAACACTGAGGAAAAAAGAGGTAGGAAATAGGCTAGTTCTGCAGCTGTCTGGAGAAATAAAGGCACTTCATGAAATTAGGCTGAACCCTGTGCAAGAGCATGTTTGCTTGAGTGGGGCCACGAGTGTCTGTGCCCTCACCCCAGGGTCCTGCTGTGGGGTTTTCCTGGTACATAGCTCACTTAGAAGCTGACAGGGGAGGACTACACCAGCACAGCTGGGCCCCTGCAGACATGGTGCCCCTCTAATTTGGCAGAACAAGGTAGCCTCGTGCAACCCATTCACTAATGAAGTCGTGGCCCTTTCCATCAACACTGAATCAGCCCTAATGTCCCCAGTGACAGCTCTGAGAAAGTAATTTTCTTCTTTGCACTAGGTCAGAAGCAGATGTCTCACTTAAGCCTCATCATTGTGACAGGATCTGATGCCATGACCTTTTATGACCCTTCTGAAAGATGGGTTTCCACACTGGTAATGCTCCCATCCCTCCACAGTGACAGGCTGTTTTAGAGGACAGATAGTCCAGACATTCCTCATTACTGGGAAATTCAAATCTGAGCATCTTTCTTTGAGCTCTGCCTTCAGGGCTCATGTCCTGCCTATTGTCCATGTGCTCCATTTGGGATCATTGGCTAAAACTGAACACAGAATTTGCCCTGATGTAGCTTTAAAACTGGGTCCTCATGCAGACAAGCCTGGTTCCAAGCAAGACGTGCCACCCAGAAGGAAATACTTACCTTGGCAATGTTTTATAGCATATTTTAATGAATGCAGCCCAGTGCAACGTTTGCTTTCCCAGACTATTTTGCATTGTTGGTTCTCAGCGAATTAATTATCAGCCCTAAGCTCACATCTCAAGTAGCTGGCAATAGGATGAGAGGAAATGGGGTTAAGTTGCACCAGGGGAGGTTTAGATTGGATTTTAGGAAGAATTTCTTTACTGAAAGAGTGGTAGGACATTTGACCAGGCTGCCCAGGGGGGTGGTGGAGTCATCATCCCTGGAAGGGTTCAAAAGTGTGTAGACATGGTACTTTGGCATATGGTTTAGTGCCCAGGGTAGTGTTGGGTTGACAGCTGGATTTTATGAGCTTAGAGGTCTTTTCCAACCTTAATGATTCCATGGTTCTATGACTCTTCCAGCTAATGTTGTGGTATTCTTCATTCCTGTCCTCTGCTGCTGTATTTGGTGAACATCCACAGCTTTGTGTTGGCTGTTTAATGCTCCTGTCTTCATTTGAAGTCCCTTTCTGCTATAGAAAGTAGGGCTGTACTAAACATCAAAAGAAACCCATTACTGCCTTCCTCCAAAAATGTATATTAGGGAAAGTAAAAAGCACCCTTTTAAAAGTTAAGCTTTTGTTGTTCCCTGTCAGCAGCTATTTCCCACTTGATCTGGTGTGGTGGATTTGGGAATTTAATTGAAGAAAGATATAAAAAATATTTCTGCCTGCCCTGTGGCTGATGGTGTTGGTGGAGATGCACTCTGAAGAGAAATTAACTCATCTGTGACTGAGAAGAAAGGTGAGGAAAGAGGATCTCCTGCATCATTTCCCCAGAACATAGGAATTCTGAAATTAATAATTTCTGGGGCCTGATCAGGGTCACTTACTTTTGATCCTGATTTTAATGATTTTACAATATGGAGCTAGAACAGACCCAGTGAATTCTCTCAGAACGAAATCCTCCATATGCAGCAGCAAAAAACAGCCTTGGCTGCAAATAATTTTAAACATTTCCAGTCATTTCAGTGAGAGGGGAAGGTGACTGAGTTACTTACAGGCCTTCCTGGAAGGTGAGCACGGCGTGTTTCTGGTGCTCGGTGTAGAAGAAGGCTTCTGAGAATCTCCTCACCTGAGGGAGGAGCACACAGGTTAAACCTGAGATCTGCTGGAAGGTGCAAGTGCAATCAGCCCAACAACAGAGAGGTGACTGACCAGACTCCTTACTACATTCCATCTGCCTTGCACCACTCTGGTGGCTGAAGAAACCTCAGAGCTGAGTTCTGCTTCACTCTCCTGGCCCAGCACAAAGCAACTGGTGCTGCTGCATATTTTGCTGGGAGGTAAGAAGTGTCCCTTGACAGTAAATCAAGATTTGCTTACCTGCATCTTCTGCTTATTTTCCTAAAAGCTGTCAAATTTACCTATCTGCCATGTATTCTTAAATCAGGGGAGATTTCTTCCATTCCCACTGTGTAAACTATATAGCAGCAATGGACTCAGTTACTAAAGTAAAACAATTCCTAATTAATCATCTCTTATATGGAACAACCACACCAACTCCCAAGAGAGTAAAGGAAGTGTTATATATCAGCCCAGAAGAGAATAAACCCTATCATGTTATAAATACATCTGCTTATGTCATGATACTTATAAATGAGAGCTCTTCAAATCTCTTCATGGACATTACTTCTGTTCAGTGTTGGGCAATCAGTTACAAAAGAGCCACAGATCTGAAGTGGCTGGCAGAGCACAGAGTGTGAAATGAGCTATAAAAAATTCAATGCTGCTTACTGCCCTGGAATAAGCTTTGAGTTTAAATGAAACAAGAATAATATGCAATCAAATGTACTAAGCTTTTAAACTGTAGCCTGTACATCACTAATAATATTAGTAAAAGTGACCTGTGTTACAGTGTCAGAAAATGGCAGCAAAGAGCCTATGTCATAGCAACCCCCTAAATCCCAGTTGTGCTTTAACAAATGGCCTTTCTAAAAAAAATGGACTAGCATCCCTTCAAGAAGACTGTGTCTTAATAGCATGACTTTTCATCTGGGGCTCTCAAACTGTTTCCCAGCGCTGGGAAAGTGTCATTACACACAGCTTATATGGAGAGGAACTGAAGCACACCAAGGTGACGTGTCAAAGCTCATGCAGGCAGCTCTCATCAGCCGAGGCTGGGCAAATCACAGGCTGAGATTCACCTTGCTGGAGCTGGGAGCACACAGAGCTGGATCCTCTGGCTGAAAGCAACCCAGGTCTTCTCTGAGTCAAGGGAGACCTAGTCAAACCAACCAAGGGGTCTCAGCATCAGTCGTTCAGTTACCTCTTCCTGAATTTTATGAAGTTTTTGCAAGCTCAATCATGCCATTGGGGGAGCAACTGGAGAGTTGTTCTGCTCACTCTGGAGAGTAACTGGACCTCCACTGACTTTGACAGGAACCAGAATACTGTAGACTCCTAAAGCTAAGCAAGGTGAATCCTGATCTTTTGTTTGTGTCCCTGCTCTAATGATTAGATCAGACTATGAGTTCAGCTCAGGTGATGTGCTGATGTCTTGTCAATAACAAAAAATGTCCTGATGGAAGACACAGCACTCGTTGAATTAATCAAACAAGCAGATCTGACAAAGTTAGCTCAAAAGACAAGTGCTTTTGTGCCTCCATTGTTATCACGTACAAGAAGCAATTTCCACATGAACAATATTAATATTTTGTTGTCTGCCTCTCCCTAGGAGAAAGGCAAAAACCAGCTCTATTTATATATGTGACACAGTGAAAAGAACAAATCTATATTCCTCATGGTAGTTTTGTGAAAGGAGCTGAGATGAAATTATCTTTTCAGTTATTTGTCACTGTGATGCTTATGCTTTTTAAAGCAAATGTTTATGAATTACAGATATCTAGCAAGTACAGGCAATATCTGCCTCTTTCCACCTACTTCCTGTTCAATGTCTGATTCTGATGTTCAAAATGCACTTATTTTACACAGGAACCTGGGTCACATCAAAGCAACAGCCTTTATCCCAGAAACTACAACCTACAATTTCAAATCCTGGACTTCACCTTGTCTTCACTCCTTGTCCTGCCCACCCTGTTTCAAGTAAACATTCATATGGGGAAAATATATATCTAGAAATATTTGGGATATATATCCAGATAAATCATTCATGTTTGTCAGGAATTGACCATTCCTGAACTTGCTTTTAAACTCTTAGCATTACCCTTAGCATGTGATGTTCCTGAGTCAGATAAGCTGTGACTTCTGGATGGAGCGTTGTCACCTCCAGGAACTGTGTCCACAGGGCCAGGAGGTGGGAGCAAAGCCAGGCGAGGTCCTTGCTTATCTGTTCTGCTATCTTCTCTGGATTGCTCAGCAGCTGAAGGAGAGAAAATGACATTTTGAGATCAAGAGAGTGCTATGAAGGAAAGTTAGTTCATATGTTAGATTAAGTCCTTTTAGGAACAACAACAAAAAAACCTCCTCTTGATTCATAATTATTATTAAAGCTACTATTTTACCCCAAATCAAGCTGGTGAGACTTTTGGGTTTTTTTTTTCTTTAAAAGTCACAAATTTTAGCACAAATGGTCTTAGCTACACAATCGGAGAGCAAGAAGTGGAACAGCCTCAATTTCTTTGAACAGTTTACTGCAGATGTAGTAATTGGGGAAAAAAAAAAAGTCAAAGAAAGTAGGTTCCAAATTATCCACCAGATGGTGCTGGATGCTCTGAAATAATAAACCATGGCCCATCACCTCCTTTCTGAGAGCAAAAGAAGCCTTCTGAGCCGTGTCACACTAGGATCCCAGATGGGTGATTTGGGGCAGTGAGGGGAAAGAACAGCAAAACAAAATCAGACCACTGTGTCCTCCACACACGATGAAAACAGCCACGCCAGAACTCCCTGCTCTTGCTTCTCTCCCACACTAGGACATGCTGGAACACTCCCTGCCCTCCAGATCCAAGCTCCAATTCTGTGCTAAAGCTCCACAGCCTAGGAAGTGCATTTCAGCAGCAGAGCCTCTGCATATCAGTCTCCCTGGATTCACAATATCTTTAACAAGAGACAGACATTGCATTTTAGCTCCTTTTTTTTCTTTTTCTTTTTTTTTTTTTCACAAATAACACAGAAATGAGCCTTCATCTACTTCTAGTGTCCCCACCTGCTTCCACCGAACTGGTAATACTATCAGAAATACTCCAGAAATAATACCAGAGGAATTGCTTATCAGTTCTTGGCCAAGTCTTTTTTTTTTGCTAGGATTTTAGTCAGGCAGCAAGCCTCTTTATTTTTCACGTTCTATTATGCAGATAGTTTTCAGACTGATGACACTGCAAACTAAGTCATGATTAAAAGCAAATTGTCTGTGTGAGAGAGGGAAACCAAAGAAAATATTTTCCCCTCAAAGCTCCTGCATTGAGCATCTGCTGTGTTCTTGGGTTAAATAGAAAGCTATGGCAGGGTAAACTCACTTTTCTTTTAGTTCTGTTTGTATTTAATTTCAAAAATGGACCTGGCTCTGGTAACACAATGATAATGGGAGACTAACCCCACAGGCTTCTTGCTGCATGGTTTTTAAAAGCATTTTCTTCTTTTATAAATGACTGGTTTTCCTGTGTTCTGCTGCAAAGAAATGGTTTCTGTTCATACACTTCTAGAGCATTGCCAATACTAATCTGTGTGCCCCACAGAGGTGTGCACAGCCTCAGCACTTGCACTGCAGTGACAGCCAGTGCTGCCCCTACATCCCACAAATGTTGTACAAGATCCTCAACGTTTATGTCGTGAGAGTCTCTGCAAATTCACTGTCCTTATCATCAAATTATACAGAGATGGATAGAAAGTTATCAGCTCAGGATGCTAAAGCAAAATATTTTCATGGGGCACAGGAGCCCCAAAGTTTTTCCAACGCCCCAGAGAACAAGCTGCTCTAGCTCTTGCAATGCTGTTCCCAGCAGCTTTCAAACAACAGTCAATAAAATTTGGTTTTATTAATACTGCCACGCAAAACAAGTCAATCAGCTTTTTGGGAGAACAAGGGTTGAGCAGGAGTTAGAACATACAGAGAAATGAATGCTGGCATTTTCAGATATATACCAAGCCAATCTGGACTTTCCCTGACTTATAAAAAATAAGTCCAAAAGAGACTCTAGATTGTGTTTTCTGACCTCCTATACCCTTACAGAGTCTAAATCTAGTAGAGATGAGCCAAATACCTTATGTTTCTCTAAATCAAATTTATATGAAATAAGATTTCTTGCAAAGAATCCAAGTCATTACTTAAAACAAAGATATTGGCCATTTCAAACATTTTTCACCCATGACTGATAAACAGTAGCCCACCATCCATAACTGGACTGTGAATGTATTTCCCATTTAGTTTGGCCTCAGTTTCCCTCCATTAACTTATTTTGTCATTCCTTCGTACGCTCTCCCTCCTGCTAATAAACAGAGCAAATAAAATCTATTGAATCTCTGATTATAAAGCATTTTCCCCAGTGATCAGTTGACATTTACATTTCTTCCTGGCACCCTTGATGTCTGTGTCCTACTTGAAATAAACATGGCAGAAGCAAGTTCAGGACAGGAGTTCAGTCACTTCTGTTCAATATCACTTTTTTCCTCCCATGAGCCTCCCTACACCTTTAGGAATTTTTATTTGAAGAGATATAGTTGTACAACATGCCAGAGCATCTTTTCTCCTGTCAGCATAAAAGCTGTAATTCCAACCTACCCACAATATTTTTTTTCTTCATATTCTGATACTCAGGGCTAGACTCACCAAAGGATATTAAAGCAATTCAGCTGGTGACTTGTTCAAAGTGACAGAAATATCTTCTAAGTGACTAATCAAAGTCATGTGAAATAGTTGTGGAAGAGAAACATTCACCAAACTTTCTGATGGCACCAAATTCCCTTTGTCACTACTCTGATATGTGACTGGGCTGTCTCAGAGCACTTGAAAAATGGATTTGAAAAACACACGGGCAGATTCTGCTGAAGAAAATACCTGCAGCTCCGTACAAAGCTGAGATAACGTCTCTTCCACAGGTAGCTCCTCTAGGGAAAAAACACAAAGATCAGGTTTGAGAACAGTAGATGTGAAAGGTTAATGCTCTGCTGGTTACTCATGTGAGAAATAGGTCTGTTGATATTCCTCCCCGATACACATATTTCTGTTTGGATGGGGGTGCTCCACAACCCATCTTGTACTGGTGCAGGTACCACTGCTGCCCATGTAACCTGGACCACTAAACCTGCAGAAGACAATAAAATTTGTCTTTTTGCTATCTACCCTCTCTTTTCCTAGAAGTTTGCTTATTAGCCTTTAGTATTTATGGCCAACTGCAGAACTCACCATTGCAAAATCTGAGCAAATGTGCAAGAAACAGTTCTCCCTGTTGTGCTACAGAGGACTGTGTGATACCAGATGTCTGACTAGTAAGAGACTGAGCATCTCTGTACAGCCTTGTGGAGTGTGAAGTAGCTCTCCACTCCTACAGCAAGCACCAGTGCTTTGATGCGGTCCTGAGAGACTCCAGCAGAGACACTCCACTTGAAATGCACCACAGACTGTAAGGCAGTGGGGGATATAAATCAACTCTCCAACTCTGGCAGCTTGATTTTGCAATGCGGAACTTTCTAATAGTATCCATAAAGAAACAAAGCAGAGCAACCAACAGGCCAATTCCCAAATGACTCGTCCTAAATAGTACTAAGGAATAAGAAAGGACAGATTGTGATGGGTGGTGCCTTGAAAAGACTCATACTCAGCTGGTAAAATCTGGGAAACAATCATTCCCACTTTTAATGTCCAAACTAGGCTATCTTTTTCAATATACCATTCAGGGAGCTAGAAAAAAGAGAGGATTAAGAGTCTGCAGAGATTTATAGTCTTGAATTTATCTCAACTATCTTTAGAAACTTATGATGAGGTTAGTCTGACCAATATAGATGTTTGTAGCTGAAGGAATCATTTACATTCTCCCCCTGGTCAGTGGAGAAAAGTGAGCAAGTTCATGCCAACCCAAGGCAGAAAGCACTACCTGTTAAATAACATTTTATTGTCCTAAATGGGCCTGATTCTCCACACTGATTGTAAAGAGACAGTTACAAAAATTTGCTTCATATTCATCACACTGGGTGAATCTTACACCCCATGTTTAACTGAATTTTGCAGCAGGCATCAGAAATTAACCTTAAAACCGACTCACTAGATTTTCAGACCGTGAATAAAACGATGCAGATTGCACTCTGCTCAGGAGGCTAAAAAGCATATTTGCATGTAGCAAACCTGCATGCGTTACAAGTACATTTCCAAATGAAGTGCCTGCTTTAGTACCAGTAGTCATTTGAAAACCAAGCTAATTGTATTTAGAAAGCCAAAACGTGTTCTTGGGTAGTTCTCAAGTTGTGGTGAACCACCCATGCAGAACTCTGCTATCTTTCCATCTATAAGCCTGTCCAGGTGAGACACAAATCAACTGTTACACGTGCCTGAAAACCAAGATGCCTGAAACACGAGTTTTGTGGCATGTTGGATTCTTTCTGTGGGCTCATCAGTTGCAAATAAAGATGCTGTTTTGTTTTGGTTGGATTTTAACTTGTAGCTGGATTAAATAGCACAGTATGAGCTCTTCCCACTCTGAGTTTTAGGCTCATTGAAAGGTAAATATGCGTTGAGGTACAAGACATGAAGTGGAAAATAAGAGCTATCAAGCCAAAAAGTCAGTAAAGCATAATGTATTATGTTTGATAGTTCTTGTATACAAGCACAATATGGTGAAACTGGAAGATGTTTTTTGCTCTGTTTTTAAATCTGCTGACCAATGCAATTGACTCATAATAAGCTCTGCAGTAACAAACTGATAACTTCAAAACCTGTATACAGAGACACAGACACAAAATCACAGATGTGAAATAATGAGCCACATTCCTTGAATTCAAGGAAACACGTGGGAGAGCAGGAATTAGTCAGGGATGTGCCTCATTTTCCCAGGAGCTCATGCTATGATTCCAAACATGACTAAACACAAATTACAGAGCTCCAGCCCACAGATCCAGACAGACAGCACTTGTATATTGGACCCAGCAAGCCTGAGCAGACAAAAAAAGCTTCTGCCAAACCCAGAAAATCCATTAAATGATTGAATTAGAAAGAAAAGCAGAAAGGATTTAAAGAGCAAGTTGCAACTATGTATTTGGCAGGGAAGAAATGCATTGCAAATTGTCAATGAGGGAGTATGGTTCAAAACCACTAATATCACCCTTCAGATTTTTCATTACAGTTTTAAAAAAATGTTTGCTCAAGAAAAAAAAAAAAATATACTAGAGTCTTCCCCAGACCTCACAGCAATTCAGAAGTTCAAGTCTTTGGAGAGTAAATGAGGCCAAAAATCATTGAAAGGTAAGTATTTTGATGAATTATCAAGACATTTTACCCCTCTACACATCATACCACACACTAAAAAAGGATTGGTGTAAGCCGGAGCAAAGCAGTTATCTTTAACAGTGTGCCAAAATAAACAGTAATCAGAAAGCCAGGACAAGAATTCTCTAAAATCTCTAAATAGCCTAAGATTTTTTTGTACTAAAATGTGAACTGAAAATGCAGCACTGTAAAATATTCAGTGATTTTAAATGTCTGTTCACTTACCCAGCTTCAGCTGTGGTAAATCAGGAATCTCCTTCATTATGAGGGCATAGTGCATGTGAAGTCCTCTTTGAGCATTCAAGAGCAGAAGACAGAGGTCCCTATGCCATTTGTATGCATGCTGCATGCAGTTTTCAGATGGGACATAAAAGCTGCCCTGTGTAACAGAAAATAAGATACAGAGATATAAATTCATAGTCTTCATTTATCCTACAGGTTTACACAAAAATCCAGCCTTTCTTTTCTAATCAAGCAGGTGGCACCAAAGAGAGATTTTAACTAACCCTACCTCTCCTGGACACCTAACTGGTTACATGTGTAGTCAGAACAGTATTTTAGCCCACATGTACATTTTACCCAAACCGCACCACAACTACTAGGCCCTAGTAATGCTGTCATAAGTAAAAAGGTCAGTTCAACAGAGAAGTCCACCTCTGTCCTTCACACATGTCCCATAGTGGAGCCAATGCCTTCCCATAATGTAGACAGAGCTGTGCAAAACATACCCTCTCTATAATAGGAAGAGGGATGAAAAGGACTATAGAGATGGTATCATTCACTTTCCTTTTTCCTCATATCCGCTTATCCCCTTCTGCAAAGGCTGAAGCCTGATGGTGTTGTGGTATTCTTTGTTATACATATTATTCAAAAAATGCAGGTAACATTGCTACCCTATCAACAAATATCAGCCAGTCTACTCCAGGATCAATGTCTGGATTGGTGTATCCCTTGTGGGAAAAGATATAATTGGACTGATCGCAGCATGTTTATTACAAAAATATTCCAAACAACACATTTACACTTACAACATAAGCTCAGTTTGCATTAGGGCACCATAAATCAAAAGCTTTCACTTGTGTCAAAAAAACACTGCTTGTATAAATTACTTGTGTTTGAAATTTGCACTGCTCAGATTTAAAATAAAAGTGTTTATTAAACTGTGAGTTTGTGCCTAGGATGTCACAGATTGTTGCAAGGAGTAGTATGACAACTATCAGTATCAGCTCATCTTTCTGAGGTCTCTGTACGCATTTTACAACTTCTGTCCAACTATACAGTAGAAAGGTGTGTGAGCACTTGCAATCACTGCTTACGTCTGGTTGTTGTTCCCCCAAGCAATAGTAAGTTATCTATATTGCAGGAGAAGAAAGGGTTCTGAAAACAGAGAGGTGAGGAAGCCACCAAGGTTCTCTGTCCTTGAGCGCTGTGAAACGTCAGGTAAATTGAGAACACATCTAGATCTGCTTTTTTTACAGCATATTGGGTGCACAAAGGTGCACAATAGGACTCTCACGGTTGCATGGCTATAGGGAAACATCAACAATCTGCATCTTAGTCCACTGCTTATCATTGATGGGGTAATAATGCAATTCCTACATCCCAACTAGGTACCTTTGTGGACACTGACAGTCCCATTAGCTATGCAATTCCAGGAGCAACAGTGGACTCACCAACCACACACAAGTGCATCGCCTATGATTTTTTCCCTTCAGTTTTCCTAAAGCCTGAATTTCATGGGATGTTTCCCTCAGCCTTCTCATGCCAACCACACACAAGTGCATCGCCTATGATTTTTTCCCTTCAGTTTTCCTAAAGCCTGAATTTCATGCCTCTTAGCTCAGGCTGGGATGTTTCCCTCAGCTTTCTCATGCAAATCTCCAGGACTTTAACCAGCATTCTGTGGTAGATACAGAGGGCATTGCTCATCTTGACCCACAGGAGAAATGACTGATGATAATTGACGGAGTTGGTTGTTCTGAGAAGGTTTCAAAATCTCCAGCCTCAGCATGAATCTATTTTACTCTCGACATGGAATATAAAAAAGGGAGCATAAAGAAATGCTGCTGGGAACAATAGAAAATTGCAAGTGGAATGACACACAATGTCATGAAAAAAAGTCCTCTTTTATAATCTATTGCCAAGTCTTTTAAGCAAAAATTACTCTGGCATTTAAATGCTACACTGACAAGCAGAAAGAAAAGTGTGAGATAATTTCATAGTTCATATCGATACTGTAACAGTACTTTTCAAGACTGAACTTCAATAGGTCTATTTTCAGCCTTTCTTGGCATAGATTGTTTAAAACTAAAAATAAATAGTAATAGGAAAATTTGACTGCATGTGGTTTCAAAACTCTGATTTTAAAATGTTGAAAATCTTTATCAATTAGGTCTGTTTTAAATTCTTTAGTGTTTACCCACTTTTATAGTGCTTTTCAAATTTCATCTCAGCTGAACTAATAAAAATTCTTAGAAACTAGTTAAACTTGCTCTGACATAGGGTTTAGGAGACTATACTTCAAAAATATTTCCATAGTGTCAGAACACAGAATGAAAGAAGAACCATTCCAGAAAAAAATAAAACCACGTCATTGAGTGTTTTATGTTAGCAGCATAACTTGGTCATTATTGTAGAAATTTAGATTAAGTTTTGCTGGAAGTGACCTCTGGAGATCATCTGATCCAACTGCTTACTTAAAACAGGCCTACTGAAATCAAGTTGCTCAGTGTTGTCTCCTGTTGGGTCTTGAACATCTCTGAACAGGTAAATTCCACCATCTGTCTAGGCAATGTGTTCTAGCATCTTACCATGGTCATGGCAATGTTTTTTTTCCTTTGTATCAAGTCAGAAATTTTGAGGTTTCAACTTCCAGCATTGTCTCTCTGTTGTTGGCTTGAAATATATTGGGTTTTGTTGAGAAGAACCTCAGTTTTACTTTCTCTTTTGTAGACATGAGAATGAGAAGAATTTACCTGCTTTTTTAATTCTTTCAACCATTTCTCTCAATGAAACCTACAGATTTACTCAGGATTTCAGGAAATAAATTAGATTTGTAAAAACAAATTAAGAAGGTCAGATAATTTCTGAAGATCCTTTAATCCCCAAATCAATTAGTGTCAGAGACACTGCCATACACAAGCAGCAGGCACCTGGAGTCATTGCCCTACTCATCTGTTACCTGAAGTTTTTAAACATCAACCTGAATTTATTTCCTCTAAAGAAAAACAGCTAATTCTAGGATTGATGTCATTGAGGGCTTTTTTCTATGCATGAATTGCAAGTGTGTAGGTATGGGGGACTAGGTTGTTTCTTTACCAGCAGAGACAAGTCTCCTCCTAATCAATCATTTCAGAGCTCTGGTCCTCTGGAATCAAGAGAGATTGCAAAGCATTTGCCACCATTCTAGCCATACAGTTCAGTCTGGATCTTCATTTTGGAAGAGGATATTCTTTAGGATGGAAGAAGTGTGGCTACTAAAGTGCAGTTCTCCAAAGTACTGTTTGTTTTCCATATAAGTAGGATCATACTGAGTCCACACAAGCTATTCCTCCTGCTCCCTACTTAAGGGAGTGGCATTTTCTTATATGAAGCACTAAGTGACTAAAAAGTAACTTGGTGTATTTCTCCCAGAAAAAAGTTCAGGTTTTACACCTTCCACTTGAAGAGAAAACGTACAAGGAGAAAGACTGTCAAATGCCTTCATTAAAAGAAGACAATAAAATTCTGGCCTCTGAGAGGACTCACACATGCAAATTTAGAAACCTATTTCTGAGCTACCAACTCTGTTGGGAGATGGAGAACTGCTTAAAAAACCACACTCCATTGCTGGGGAATAATTGTTTTCATCATAAACCTAACATCTAAAATCAAGGAAATGAACTGTGGCCAATTCTTTCCATTAATTATGAAGAAAGTAGAGGAGAACTGGCTACGTGTTCTATACTGTAGACACAGAATCAGGAGCACCGAGTACAACCACAACAGACAAGTCAAATTTCCTCAAGCATTGTTGTTTCTTGAAAAAAAAACAAACAAAAACCAAACAACTTTCTTTAAATTACTTTAAGATATGGATGATATATATGTGTTCATAGTGAGCTGTAAAGATTGCACCCAGATCTCCTTTCTCTGCCCGCCCAGGTCTCTGGGAGGAATGTCTGAGTCAAAGAAAGGTGCTGTGCTTTGAGAATACCATTGCATGGGAGGAGCATCACTGCACAGTCACAATCCAAGGCAATGCCAAACAGGCACAGTCCAGGCACATGTGCCACGCACGAGAGGCCATATCATTAAGCTGAAGTATTTTTATGAAACTCCATTAAATGGTAACTGACTCTGAGACACTGTTGTTTAATGGGAACATCCATCCTAATTCAAAAAATCTTGTTAAGGTGGAAAGTGTGATAGAAAAGACACCAAGCTCTAAATTCCTCGTCCTTCAATGACTTAAAGCCATCACTGCTCTCACAGGACCGTTTCTCCTGAAAAGTGTCACACGCATACAGGATGCAGAGCAGGACGTAACAATGATTATTAAACCCACCTCAGGGACAGTTTAAGCTAATGTCAACTAAGGTCTGTGCATCCTCATCTGCAGGGACCCCAGCAGGCCAAGCATCTGTCAGATGATGCCGTTATAAACTGCTGCAGCTAAATCAGCTTATCCGTCACTGTTCAGTAAGCTGAGAAATGTCAAGGAACTTCTTCCTTTGGGATGGCCTGGGGACTGCAAACCTTCCACGTTCACTATTTTAATTGCATCTCCTCTGTGCATTTATTTAGGGGGTCCCCTGTTTCCTAGGTTATAGCCTGAAACAGGAATTCAGACTGTAGTACTAAGAAATCTAGTTCAGTAACAAATATAGCCCATGTTATTCCAAGGAAAAACACTGCCATAAAACTAGCAGTCAGGAAAAGTAGCAGTTAGGAAAACAATGTGTCTAAGTGTCAGGTGAGCCCCTAAGTGTCCAGATTACATGAGAAAGGATGTATCACAAGGTACGTTTACAGGGTGCCATGAAGGATCATGCACATGTAGCCTTAATTTCTCCATTTCTTCATTCACTGAGAAGTGATGACAAAGAAAAACCTACTCAAATCCCAGATACAAAACACTATCTAAGATTTTGGAACTGGAAGGCTCCAGTTTGATTGGATTGTGTTCTGAAAAGCTAGATCCCAACACTGGACCACCATTGTTCCTTGTCCATCTGTCCTCTAAAATGTTCTTCTAGATTTATTCAGACAAGTAAAATAGCCTACAAAATCAACAACCCCAAACAAACTAAACATTCTTGACAACATCCCTGCTGAATATATTTAAGTAACGTAAGTCCTTTAAATAAATAGGTTTCCTGTGTAATGCTCTTTTCACTCAACAGATTTCTCCTAGAATCAGAGTGTATTATGTTATAAATGTACTTTTCCTTTATAACAAGAGGAAGAAAAATTACTTGAGAAAAGACAACACTGTAATTAAATAAGGTTCATGCCAGTCATTATTCAAATGCAGAGAACAATTTGTGAATACCCACTTCCAGTGTATTAAATTCATCTAATATCAATTGGATTTTATGCTTTGTAATATACAGTGAGTTGCTTGTATTGTTTTGAATTAAAATAACTCCACAAGCTGTGTTAACCCTGTGCAATGTTCAACAACAGCACAGACAGTTGCTAAAGTGGACCCTTTACATTTAATCCAATTCAAAAAAGCATTTCACAATTCAGATTCAAATTCAAATTGCTTGTCATAAATTTTAAGATACTACAAAACCATTCCAGAGTAACTAGAGAAGTTTCACAGTCTTCAGCAGCTTTCAGTAGTGGACAGAACTAGTCTACCTTGCCTACTTCTGGCAAAGACCTAGAGAACTGCTTGAAATAGAGGAATAAACCTCAGCATCCCAAGATGAATGCACTTTCTGAAAGCACAGAGTCTGCCCATTTGTCTTCATGCCCATATTGGTCACCTAATGCATAAATTTGATTCTAGCTTCAAACTCATTAACCAAGGAGATTCTTCATCTCTACTTCAGAGACTGTTTTCTAAGATAGGAGATTTCCTGTTATTTCATGGTTGGAAATGAAAGTAGCTATGGTTTAGTCTCATACGTTAGTGTTTACATCTCATTAGCTTTTTTAAAAAAAAAAAGAAAAAGGATCAAAAGAGAACAATTTCTGATAATTAGGGATATGACTGAAGCATACAAGCAGAGGAGTACTCTTTCATGTGAGTAGGAACATGAATGACTAGGAGAGATATTTGTATTTTATACTTGAAAAAATAGCAAATCAGGACGAGAATCAGGAGTTATATCATGCAATTTATATTATGCCAGTTACACTTGTTAATTATTTCACACTTTTATCTGCAAGGTGTTTGTTAAAAAAAAAAAAATAAAATCCAAACAAACAAATAATCCTGTATTTATCTGGAACTTTGCATCAAGTAACACTTGAATGAGAATCCAATCTCCTCAAGATGACAGTTAGTTGCTGGCCAGAAGAAGATGCAAGTCTCCTTTGAAAGGGTCCTTACAGGGATCTTCAGCTGGATCAAGTGAGAATTCTCCAGCTGTTCTGCCAAATCCCTACATCAGCTGGGCTGTGGTCCTGTGTGACCACTCCAGTACATGCCTCATCCATTGTTATCTAATACCTTCAACTATATATATAAAATATCTCATTAATTCTCAACTATTTATGAAGTCCTGTTCTAGGATGATCTATGCAGGAACGCTTCCTATTGACCAGGAACACTTCCTACTGACCAGAAACATCAGAAACCTGCATCAAAACCTCCCATCAGAATCTCTGGGACAGCCAGATTGACCACCCAGGATGATTGTCACTATACCAAAGCACACAAGTTGTGCTGGTCAGCTTTTCTAGGAGCTTCTTAGAGGAAGCTCTGGGTCTGATGAAAATTGCCACCCTGAAAGATTCTACAGCAATGATTTAATGCTGCTTCTAATTGTTGCCACCTTCTCTCAGGTTGATCCATTGTCTCATCAGTGCCCTGAGTGTCCTTACAGTCACAGCCCTGACACCCTGTGATTCCAAAACTATACAATGAACTTGAACTGTATATTTATTACACACATCACTTAAATTCACAGCTTTTGCCACTGATGATAAAATACTTCATTTTACAGAAGCTGACAAATGCTTTCAGGAACTCAATTTCCATAAGATTCATATTACTAATATTGCAGTTAAGACATAGAACCCAAATGAAAAAAGAAGGTTTGCTGTATCCAGCCCTCCACAGAGACAGACAGCAAACACAGATTTACTAAATGGCTATATTTATTTCAGGATTTTATTTCTCCTTACCTTTTTCTCTCTCCCTCATTTAACCTTTTTTTTTTCAAATTATTGTTTCATGCTGAGAAACAAATAGTAGACTCACAGATGTTCCCTTTTCACATGAAGGGACACATATGACTAAGCATTTTGAGGGAAACATAATATATTAACCAAATCAGTGTTGTGAATGTAAAATCTAAAATGTACAGCTTGAGCAGACAGCACCAGCAGTGGGGGAAAGGCAAGTTCTTACCCCATTTCCTGAAACTGTATGTCAGAAGTTATTTTTGTCATAAAGTGGTTATTATGCAAATATGCTACGTGAATTCTGAGAAGACCAAAGAACCAAAGAATTTCTTCTGAGCCCCAAAGTAGTTCCCGTGGCAGAAATTACATGAAGTCCAAAGGGAAAAAAAAGAACCCTGCTGATTTTGAATGAAGCATCTGGTCTGAGAATGTTACATGAGGAAAAAAAAAAAACAGAAAAATCCTGCATTTGGGTCCACTAAGAATATTTTCATGAATATGGATGGTATATATAGAAACCCTACCCAAAAACAAACAACAAAAAAACAAACAAAACCCCAAAAACCCTCTGCCTCACTACTTCCGTCATCAATAGAAAATTAATTCTAGATCCCTGTGCCAGACTGCAAAATCATTGACAAAGCTGAAACCATACCATAGTTCAAAGATAGGAAAGTCCACAGTGGCCAACTTGAGGATGCCATTCTGGGGTGACACACTGCTGCTTAGCCTGCTTTCCTTAGAACACACTGCATATTCAACCATGGTGTCTGTGTCTGTGCCACTCTGACAGTGGTCCAACAATTTCTCGAAGTGGTGAGAGAATTTAACCTTCTTTGAGAGAGAGGAAAAAAAAGTCCCCAAATACTGAATGCCTAAAGTGTAGTGAAAATGGGCAGCCAAGAGAGAAAAAGGACTTTAAATACTTGTCTAATAGGCACTGTACACAAAATTTGATCCTACCTGGTGGGAAAACAATACCTGTCTCTGTTCTCCATCTGTCAGCACCAGCTCTCTGAATATAGAACTTTCTTGAGAAACAGGTGACAAGCACATAAGTGAGCTTCCATAAACCTCATTCCTCATATCCACTGAGAGGAAGACAACATGCTTATGGGAGAAACAGTTACAGAAAATTCAGAAAATTAAGAAACTTCCATCAAAGAAAGTGAAACAGAACCAAAATGTAAGATAAACAGGTTTATTTGTCTATGATACACTTGAAGGTGTGTATTCTATGAACTTCATAAATTGCCTTGCTTGTATTGATTTACTAGTCTGCTACATGATATGATGGTTCATTACCCAAACGTCCTGGCTTGGGTTTGAGAACTAATTCTGCTCAGTGATTTTACTTCTCACCTAAGTCTCTTCTAACTAATTGCATTTTCTGAAGTTAATGGCATATTTTTGCAGAAAGTGTCTGCTTCTAGCAGTGATGATGCTTCATCTTTACAGTTACTACCAAGGATTGGTGTGCAGAAAGGTTCTTGCTTACACTTGCTCCTACGGAGTCCAAGGTCACTACTAAATCTTGAGCCACTAAATCTTGAGCACCATTTTGGGGAGCAGAAAGAAGATGGGACAGGTGACCCTAAACTGACCAGCAAGTTATTCCATCCCACATATGTCATATTTAGTATAAAGCTGAGGAATCACAAGAGTCATGCTCTCTCCTTCACTGGCCAGTGTACAAGGAGGGCTCTGTTCTGCCTTCGATCCTTATCCATGTGTTCCTGAATCCAGTTCCCATCTGCCACTGGGTCCAGTCTGGGACTTGATTAGTCCCTATCCCCAGCATCAGCAGTGATGGTGATGTAATTGCCCTCAGGCGGTTGGTTTGAGATTGGTTTTATATATATTTGTATATAATCCATATTATTATTTTTATTTTAATTTTCATTAAAGCAATTTTAGT